GCAAGAAGCCCTGGGCTTGATCCCTAGCACTCCACTAAAAGCAAAGGAAGGAAGGAAAAGAGGGAGGAGGCAGGCTGGTTTTTCGCCAGATCTGGTCTGTAGCCACAGTTCCTCCACCCTTGGAGGTGCATCACTGCTAGCCCTAGATATGGGTGAATACATTGAATGGCAGAAAGAGAGAGCTAGCTCCTGACTCCAGATCTCTGAATGTGGGGTCCTGCTGTGTTGAAGGGCCTCTGAGACTTTGGGCGGCTCCCTGTCCTTAACTGAGCCTCTGAATCAAAGCAGGTCAATGGCTTTCCACACATTCCTCTGCCCTCCCTCCACCCCAGGCTTTTTTCTGAAGAAAAGCCAATGTAAAAACCGCAATGTCAAAGATTGATTAATCAACAGTGCTGGCTGTGCCTAGGGCTTGAGGCAGGATAGAAAGGTAGGAAAAAATTATGGTGACATGGGATGGAAAGCCTGGGACAGACCAAAGCCCTTCTCTTGCGGTCTGCCTCGCCTTCTCTTGTGATGGAGTCAGGAAGCTTCAGATATCACCGAGAAAACTCAGGTTGCCCATGGAAGCAACGCAAAACTTTCTTGAAGATAACTCGATCGAAGGTGTCAAGCACAGTAAACAAACTTGGAGCCAAGTCACCTACAGCCTTGAGAGCTTCTCATTGCTCCAATCTTGTTTCTAAATCCAGACACCACTCATAAATTCATTTTATAACTTTGTTTGTAAAAGAAAGTTTCCTAACCTTTAAACCGTGTTATAAATTACCCACTCTGAGCAAGGGAGCTTAGGGAGCCATTCATCCAGTCACCATACAATCAGGCACATCTCTTCCTGGAGAGGCCTAGGCCCATGCTTGGGTATGTCTCATTCTTCCTCTGAGCATCTCTCTTTCTACTAACCCATGTGTTTAAAATACATTAAAGATATCTAAAATTATAAGATAAAAAAAATCCAGCTCTGCTTCATTTTAGCTGGTCCTGAAATGCTTTTCTGTGCGAAGCTAAGAATCCTGGATTCTCTTAAAGCTCCCTAAGGAGAAAGGGGGATGTTCTGGATTGCTGCTTAGAGCTGTAGCTCTGCTCCCACATTGCTGATAGGCTTATTCCTCTCCTTTGGAGAGATCAGAATTTCTCTGCAGACTGTGGGCTGGAAACTTTGGCCCTCCAGAACCTCACTGAGATCTGAGTTCTCCATCAGATAGTGGGCACTCTTCATAGAGAAGCTGTCCTGTACCCTGTAGGTTGTAGTAGATGCAACTCCATTTTCACCACAGCTAGAATAACCAAACATGTTTCTATACACTGTTAATGTCCTTGGGAGGGTAGCAGTGGATGAGCCTTCTCAGGCTGGGATTGGTTTGAGTCATTTCTTAATTGAAACAGATCTCAGAATCCTGTTCTTTGAAGACACTGCATCCCTGATCTTGGCTGGCTTTCCCTGAACTGATGGATGACCTTAAAATCAGGGGACAGAGGGGACTCACCATCACATAGCTCATGCTGTTCCAATAGGTCTCAGGCCTGTTGTGGGCACTCTGAAATGGCATGGGGGGTAGATAAGGGACAAAGCCTGTCTTTAAGATGCTGTCAGTGGAGGAGAGGCAAACACCTGAGCAAAGAATACACACACACACACACACACACACATACACACACACACACACAAACACATACACACACAGATTTTAGAATAGTGTTTAATGAGAAACCCATTTGCAGGTGCTGGGGTGTAAGGAGTAGGGTTTTTCTGCCTGCCGCCTGGTCTTGTCCCGCTGCCGCGCCAGCCCCAATTAACACACCGAGACTCTGTATTAGATATAATGCTGTTGGCCAATTACTAGTTTCTTATCGGCTAGTTCTGTCTTAAGTATTAACCCATTTCTGCTAATCTATGTATTTCCACGTGGTCTCCTCTTACCCTCGGAGAGACGGCTGGCGTCCTGCTTTCTCCAGACTCTCCATCTTGACTCCTCTTTCCTCCTTCCTCTTTCCTCCTTGTCTCCCAGTCCCTCCTATCTTCCTTTCCTATTGGCCAACAGTGCCTTATTTATTAACCAGTATGAGAAACATATATACATAATGGCATCTCCCATCATCTCCTCTTTTCTGTCTAAATAAAAAGAAGGGTTTTAACCTTAACATAGCAAAATATATCACACAACAGTTATCAAATAAGAATCACAGTTAACAATATTTAGTTCATTAACATGTAGCAAGATTTAAGAAAATATTCCATCATCTATCCTATCTTTGTATGTCTAAAGTCTATGTAATTTATCTTTAATCCTAACTAAGGAAAACTATAACCATAACTATCTGTCTTCAACTCTATCAAAGACCATAGAAGGATAATATATAAACTCTAGAAATGACAGAGACATCTTGTCTTGTCAGTCACCTGAAGTTCTTCTGCAATCTTCCATCTTCAGCCCATAGGCCATAGTGTGTCTGGCAGACTCTTCAGCAAAGCAGGAAACTTTAAACTGTCTTCTTGTATTGGCAGTTTGTCAGTCACTTTTCTTTGTGTCCTGCAGACTGTCTGGCAGACTCTTCCATGAAGCAGGAACTCTGTAGCAATGTCCATCTTGAATCAGCAGTCACTTTTCTGTGGGTTCTGCATGTCAAGTTTATACAGCATGAAGTCAAACAGTCCAGACAAGAGCAGTATCTTGTCCAAATGGCTAGTCTTGCCATATTGGGAGCAAACTTCATAACTCCTTTCTTCAAGGTCCATCTTCCTTTTTGATGCAGGTGGTGTTGCCAGGAGCAGTTATGTCTCATTGTTAAGAAAATCCCTAAACCATTTTAAATGCCATATTCTGTAGGTCTTTGAAAGGTTTGAAGAATTCCTATCTATCTCAAATACATCTCTGTGTATCTTGAAAAACCTAACTAACTTAACTCTAAGCTTTGACTATCATTGGTAACTGTTTCCCATCACTGGGGAGATGGTAAAGTGTTTACAAGCGTGAGGGCCTGAAGACTGGACATACAGTGCTTGCTTGTAATTCTAGTGCTGGGGAGTTGGAAAAAGAGGGTCCCTGGGGCTCAACGGCCAACTGGTATAGCTGAATCTTTGCGTCCAAGGAATGGCACTGTACTTTGGACATGGTGACAGGGAGCTTGGAAGTGACATAGGTGAGGCTGGGAGGTGGCCAGGGTCTTGATTACAAGAACATGGAGCTTAGCAGCTGGGGTGGCTCTTGGGGCGATGGGGACCCATTGAATGTCTAGGCGGTTGAGGGACTGACTGGGACGTGGTGTGAAAGCTGAGGCTGGTACATTGTTAGGACAGGCAGCTTCTGGGAAGAGAGACAGAGGCAGCAGTTTAGGCTATGACCAAAGAGAAGGCAATGTCAGAGTGATGGAACAGTCTGGAAGATCCAAAGGATGTGGATTTTGGTCTCTCCTCTCTCCACTCCTCACTAACCTTTTGGGCCAAGCACTTCTTATAGAGTCTACGTTATTAGCAGATGTATCAAGAGGAAAAACACTTGCCTGGTAACAGATAATGGGGAGGCACAAATGCCCTTCCCTGCCCCCTGGGTGCAGAAGCTGCTGACCAGTGATCTCCTCTGAGTCAACATCCTGGTGCCAGGAAAGCCTGAAGCTGCTCGTTCAAAGAGGATGCGCAGGTATACTTGGGCCTGAAGTATTGTAGCTGGCCAAGGCTAGCTTAGCCTCTGGAAGAGGGTAGGAAGAAGATGGAGGCAGATGGTCCAGCTCCTTGTATTACAAATGTACTAAGTTCCAGTTCCCTGGAGTTCCTGGGACAGGTGTCTGACTGAACCCCAAGCCTGGTCCCTGTCATCAGGGAGGTCTCCACAGGTTTATGAGAGGTATGCACAGAACTACTGTGTAATGCAAGAGTATATAGGCCAGCTCCTTGGGGGAGGCCGGTGAGAAAAGTCTCATTGAACCCCGGTAGCTGCCCTGGGTAGGGGGATCTCTGTGTTGCAAAAGACAAAGCCCTCTAGCCTGCAATTGGCTGGAGACAGGAACCATGACTTTCCAGCTCTGGCCTTGATTTCCTACCCAGAGGCTCAAGTTCAAATAGGGCCCAGGCTGCACCTCAACCTTACTATGCAGTGACTCATCTGGGGATAACAGGCAGGGAGGGACACACCCTGCATGGATGCCTGTACAGCCCAGAGTGTCATAGTCTCCTATCTCTCACCCACATCTCCCCTGCGCACAGCACCAAGGGACTGCTGGCAGACCACCCTTAGCCACTGGCAGGCTGCCTTGATGGGGTATAGCAACATCAGAGGTCCTTGTCTGTCCATGCACTCAGCTTCTCATCCTTATATAGGCATGTCACCTGGGGTAAAATGGGGACCACACACAATGAGGAAGATAACAGTACTAGAAGGACCTCACCAGAGGGAAAGATTGCTGCTCAAAGAACTCAGGTGCTTCACACACAAGTTCCCCATGACTTTGTCTAGCTTTGCACATACTGTTCCTGCTGTGGCTGGCACCCACCTTTTAAAGATGCGCCCTCCCAGAGACATGGAACACACACTGAGCTGAGCCTCTTTCTGGGTTTCCCAATCACCTGTTGATAAAAAGAGCAGGCATCTACCCTCCCAGACCTAACGCTCACAGTGGGCGATGCAGGAGGAGGGCACTGCAGGAGGGTCAGTGCCACAGCTCCTGGCCTGCCTCTCTTGGAAGGTAGTGCCCCCAGGAAGGAACAGTCCAAGCTAGTCCTCAGACTGACAATGTGTCAATGTTGTCCTGGAATATAGAGATGATAGCGGTGGCTGCTCTCTGGCTCCTGTGATAGAGCTGTTCCTATCAATGCAGGATGCAGGAGACACTTGGATAAGTGGCTCTCCCTCTTTGACCCTTAGTTTCTCTGCCCTGTGAAACAGGTGTGAGGGGGTCCTGGCTCAGGCCTCCCACAGGTCCCTCCCATCGATGTGTCTGGGAAATGAGTTTCCAGGCCCAAGTTCCGTCTGTGCCGTTTCTGCCTCTCTGGGAAATAACTTCTCCCTCCTGTCAGGTAGACTATCACTTTAAGTTTGGGCGGGGCCTGTTGGACACTGGCCCAGCACCTGGGACCTAGAGGAAGCACTGAAGCGGGCCATAAGAGTCTTTGAGGTGGTGATCGAGGACACAAGGACTAGGAGACAGTGGGTAGGTGGCTTCCCAGCAGGATCCCCAGCTGCTGGGCTCGGTGACAGGGAGGGAAGGATCTCAGCCCTACTGGGGACCAGAACAGAGACCTTAAGGAGCAGGTGAAGTGCCAAGGGCACAGCCAGGGACAGCTACCAGAGCCTCCCCAGATGCTGGATGCCTGCAGAGCTCAACCGCTGCCACCACCACCACCACCACCACGCCTTCTAATGAGCTGGGCTCTCCCCTGGACCGCTCCTGTGGCTCCAGGACCAGACTGATGGCTGCATGCGAGGTGGGTGCTAGCATCCTGTCTCCCCCCTCACCCCCGTGCCAGGAACACCTCAGCTTCTGCTAAGGGTGTGGCCTGGACCCTTTAACCTGGACCGTACAGAAGGGACCCGATGTCCTACTCCCTGCCACCCAACGCCACAATGCTCAAATGGGCGAGTTTCTCCACAGGCGTAGGCGGCTGTTCTTGTTCAGATGGTTACTCCTGTACAGAAACAGGTGCCTGTAGTGCTCTCATGGGGTCACTGCAGGACAGCAACAGGGACACTGCAGGGCTCTCCCCATCTCTGTAGTCTGGATGCAAGTGCACGGCTCCCTTCTTCCTCTTCTGAAAGGAAGGGGCCTTTCTTCTAACTGATTTGCACTGAACCCCGTGTAGTAAACAGTCGGGCCTAGAGTAGGTGACTTCCTGGCTCAAATCCCTCCTGGCTGTGGTGGAGTACTCATTACATTAGGTAAGAGACACTGGATAACCTGGTAGTGTCTGAGTGGGGCCACCCTCTATCCAGCTCTGGGAACATACATCTCCAGTACAGCTTCCTGGACTCAACTCCATAACCTCTTAGCCCTGAGAGCCAGGATGTAAACTCAAAATGCGGGCATCAGGAGCCTGCTCAATCATGGTCCCAGAGCTAACAGACTGGCTACAAGGAGGGAGGGATGGATAAAGCCTCCTGGTGGGAAAGGCCTCCCCTAGCCGGAGGGAGATGGGCACAGTTTCTGGGAGGGGTGACACTGACTTCCTTTTTGGAAAAGGGTGAAGTGGGGACTCAGAGGGAGTAGCGAGTCTAGGAGAAAGGCCAGGTGGCTCAAATTGGAGTGAGGGTAGGGACAAGGCAGAGCAGTGGAGGTAGGACCAGCTTGGCGGGCCCTGCCTGAGTGCCAGGATGGGGTGGAACTTCTATGGGGCCAGAGAGCTTCCTGTCTGCCCCCCAGGGGTTGGAAGTCACACCCTCCATGGCTGGGAGCCCTCCCTTCCTCCCCTATCAAGGGTACAGGGGCTGGAGGCAAGGGTAAGGGGCACTGAAATGTCTGAGGGTGGCTTCTCAGAAAAGGGAGTGGAGGGGCCCAAACATACAAAGGAACTCAAGTTAGGTTAAATCTGCAGCTAAATACATTTCCAAGCTATCCTTGAGATATCACTGTGCTGAGCAGTAAGCAAGCAAACACCTGTAAAGTGTCCAGTTGGGTAAATGCCCCTAGCACATGCTAGCCATCAATATTATTTATGTAGACTGAGGGTGAGCCGGGTAGAAACTGCTCAATGGGGTTCATGCTTGTCTCTGAGGGGCAGGATTCATCTTGGCTTGATTTTGCTACTTCATTCTCTTCACGATGAGCAATTTTTGGATATGGAAAGGGTTTGGAATGGGTCTTTCACCTTCCATGGCCTTCCCTTGATTGGAGGGAGGATGAACTTTCCCAAATGCTAATTCCCAACAAAGAACTGATTTCCATGGCTTCTTTATATGTAGCCGGTGACTCAGTGGTTCAGGAAACTCTAGCTTAGGGGACAAGCCAAGGAGGGACAACTGGAAGAGGAGAGTGGTGTGCTCCCAGAAGGTACAGGGTCTTCAGAAGGCTTCCTAGCAAGGAGCAAGCTGAGCTTTGCAGGGCACAACACAGAGAGGGGTCATCAGTAGGGGCAGTGGTTTAGAGGTGAGCTTTGGGGATCAGTGCCAGCCTCTTCTGGACTGTAGGATCTGGGGCCAGACTTGCTTCCTGCAGATATCCCATGCAACGTTTTTGCTGAGTCCTCCCTCTTCCAGTGATTCACATGTGTTCAAAAGAGCAAAACACATGAGTGCTCCCCTTCTGCCAAACATGCATGCTGAGCCCAGCTTAAGATGTGTATGGGTTTTCTGCTTATATGTGTGTATGTGCACCACGTGCATACTGCTTTCATGGAAGTCAGAAGAGGGTACAGATCCCCTGGAACTGGAATTAGAGACAGCTGGAGATGCCATGTCCATGCTAGGAATTGAACCCAGGGTCTTTGAAGAGCAGCTGGTGCTCTTAACCATTGAGCCATCTCTCCAGCCCCGAACCCAACTTTTTAATGAGTTTATATTATCTCACCTCATGTGCTGTTTTGTTAGGGCTGGAGTTGTAGGCTCCTTCAGTGCTATGACAGTGATGAAGACACCTGTGTAGACATCCTGGAAAAATCCTGTTCTGTGCTATGGAAACTGAAGTTCAAGTCAGGCGACTTCTCTGAGGTCTTGGTACACCTGGCTGGCCCATTTCTTCAGATTCTCTCTCCTTCTGTGTGCAGACATGCGCCAGAGGCCAGGTGGCCTCCACTGTGCGTTACTGCATGACGGTCAGTGGCACAGTGGTCCTGGTGATTGGGACACTCTGCTTTGCATGGTGGAGCGAAGATGATGCAGCTGTCCAGCCTGGCTCACTGCCCCCCACGATGGAACATCCATTGCCCAAGATCTCCCCGATTTGGCTCAAGTCTGTCAGCTTACTCTGCTGTAGCATGGGCGGTCTGCTTCTGTTGTTTGGCCTGCTCTGGTCCATCCAGGAAAGCTCAAAGAGGTCGAGCCAGGGGGAGCTGTACCAACTCTCCAGAGACCTGTATCACCTCTCTGTGGACTCCTCTGAGAAGAACTGCAGGTTAGTGGGGCAGGATGGGGGCCACGGGGGACTCCGGCTACAGTCACACTACCCAGTATTTGCTCAGTAAATTCTCATGCGATTCTTCCACTGGACAAGGCCTTTCCCTGCCTGTATCCTGAGGACATGCAAGCCCCATGACAGAGGCAAACGACAAACCAGAGTAGTGAGAGCTATGTGAAGAGCAGGCATAGTCCTGTGGAGATGTGGAGAAATCTGGGAAGCCTTGCAGGAGAAGGCGGCAGCCAAGCTCAGCAGACAGAGAAGCAGAGGAGTGAAGAGCCTGGCATAGGAAGAGTCCCTGAGGCACAATAGGGCACTGTCTAGGGCCAGGCACTCTGCCAAGTGACTTCTCCACATCCCAGGGGACATAGCTGGGACTTCTCCATTTGTGGAGGAGGAAACCAGACATAGAGACCTTCAAAACTTGTCCAAAGATACACAGCTCTGTGTCTGAACTGGGTCCCAAGCTACGGCAGCCTTACTGGGAACCAGTGCTCACGATAGGCCCCTGTCTCTGGAGACACTGGGGACAGTGAGGGAGTGATGGGTGGGCACAACTCAGCCCAGTGCCCAGCACACAGTAGGTGTTCTGGAAGTGGCAAGTTTTCCTGACCTGCAAAGGTGAGGGTGGGTGGGCATGGGGCAGGGGTTGGGTGAAGGCAGAAGCCAACGGTTGCATCAAAAAAGCTGTCAGTTTCCCCCCATTGCTGTTATCCCTAGCCCTTTGGATGTTTTTCTTCCTCATTCCCCCCCTTTTTTTAGACCAGAGCCTTACTTTGTAATCCAATCTGGCCTAAAATGTATGATCCTCCTGTGTCAAGGGATGGGACTACACACATGCATCACCCCCCAGCTTGTTAGCATGTTTTCTTAGACTGTGATCCCCATAGATGTGTTATGGTTTGTGTACACATATTGTATGTATACATTTGTGCCTTATGTCTGGGGACCGATTTTGCCCTGTAATGCATGTTCTCCTTGGATACTTGTTTATTCAACAAAGCATCCAGTGGCCCTGGAGCCTGAATGGGCTGCTTGTACCTTTATGCCACCGGGGACCACTGTTGCTGTTTGCAGAAGAGTGAGGCTTGTCACATGCAGCTCACAGTGGTGTGAGCCTGAGGGTTACAATGCTTGCGGCCCTCCCCAACACTTCTCCATAAGCACTGGTGTTGGTTCAGTGGGGGCTAACCTATGCTCCTAGGAACTGATTGGGACCTGCCTTGCTTCCCTTGTCAGGTAGACAGTGTCTTCTGGAGTATCTTGCTATCGACCCATGGGCTCCTTGAGGCTAGATACAACATCTGACAGATACTACTTAGGCCAATAGGCAGACCTCAAGTGGGGCATGGTGGGGAACTTGGGCGCTGAGCTCCAGCAACTGAGTCCAGGCCAGCCTGGGTTACAGAGTTGCTCCATCAGAGGGAAGGGCACCTTACCCAGCCAAACTTTGCACTCTGCCGAAGAGAAACTTGTGTGAGAGACAGTGACCTACCTGCTCATAAAATGAGTTGGACTCTGACAGCCAGGACAGCCTGTCCTCCTGCCACTCCCAGCCTGGCCTGAGCAGAAAGTATTGCTGTTGTCTGTACACACGGCAGTGTTGCGTCAACATGGCCCAGGCCACAGCTGCGGGTTAGGTGGGCTATTCCATCTTCAGTTAGACAGGAAGCAGGAAGGGGCCCTTCCAGCTCCAAGACCCAATTTTCAGAGTCAGAACCTGGTGTGACTGGGCACTGCGGAAGCCTGCTTGTCTGATCCTGTCCCCAGGGGAGGCACCCCACTTCCTGGGGTTGGGCATTCCTCTTTCTGTGTTAGGCCTTAACCCTCCATTTAGTCACCTACTCTCTCTTGCCTCCGTCTAACACCGCTGAGCACCTACCATGTGGTGGGTCCAGTGTTGGTAGTACATCAGTGGCAACACAGACAAGACCCTCCCCCGAAGCTCCTCCGGCAATTGTCAGTCCTGAATAGAGGTCCCTTGTGTCCTCAGTGGGCACAGCAGGCAGTGCCAGGCCCACTCAGAAGGCCACTTTTGTGTTGTTGCCCTTTCTATTAGAAGCTGTGTGTCTGTGAACGTCCCTAGATTTCCCGAGTCACACCTGATGCTTTATCTGTCAGCTGCAGCCGGAGGAAGAGCAGGCCCCCCATACCACAGCTCACTGAAAAACAAAGCAAAAGAACATGTTGGGGAAGGGTTTATTTGGGCTCACGGGTATTTTCCATCACGGTGGGGAGGACACAGTGGCTGGAGCGTGAGGCAGCTGGCCATGTTGTATCCGTGGTCAGGAAGTAGATAGAGGAATGGTAGTGCTCACTTTGTCCTTTCCGTTCAGTCCAGGACCTCAGCCCTAGGGATGATACCCCTCACATTTAGGGTAGGTCTTCCCACAGCAATTGACTAAGTTTGAAACTGTCCCACAGAAGAGCCCCAGGGTGTGTCTGTCTCCAGGGTGATTCTAGACCTTGCTAAGGTGACCAGCCATCATTCCTCCCTTCCTCCTAGGGTGCTTCAGGCGCCCGTGACATGGCCGTGGTGCTTGAGCATGCGTGGAGCCTGCACCCCTTTGCTTTCCCTGCTCTTCTCTATTGAGATCTTCATCTCTAATGGGCTTGAACCTTGGCTTATAGGGAGGGTGTTAGGATCAGTCCCGTTTTACCAAAGGGAGATTCGAGGTGTACTTGGATCGGGAGAGGTGTGCATGGTGGGCTGAGCATGAGCTCTGCCGTTAGAGAGGGCTGTCCACTTAGCTGGTGTGCCCTACACTCATTCATCTGTGAGATGCGTGGGGCTTACTCCTACCCTACTGGGTTTGGTTCCTCAACAGAAAGCCAGTGGGGCCAGCAAGGAGCCTGTCTCTGTCCCCATAAGGCTGACTGGTCTCTGTGCATGAGACCACTGGGCTGGACCACCCCCACCCCACCCCCAGCCATAGGGAATGCACTAGGAGCCTCCTACACTAGGACAGAACCTTACAAAGGTCCGAGTTCTGGGCATGCCCATGTTCTGAACTATGACCTCGGACAGTTAAGGGTGATGAGCCCACAGGCTGCTGAGGTGACAGGAGCAGGCTTGAGGGCTGTTGCACACACCTGCCCTCTAAGCAAACTTCCTGCTGTGGGCTGAGCTCCTGATATACCTAAGCCACACAAGTCCCACTGGCTGCCACCTGCTGGGCTGGCCCCAAACAGACCCAGAACCAGCTCAAATAATCTGGGCGGACAGGGAATGACTGGGAGGTGCACAAGAAGGGAGAGGAGGGCTTTGGAGTCCTATTACCCTCATTCCCTTCATGGCTGTTAACCCTTTTTCTGCTCTTCTACATCTGTGACAAGGCAAGTATTATCCCTATCCCACAGATAAGGAAGAAGAGGCCCAGAGAATGTGGGAACAGCAAAGAGTTCAGTGCGCTGCCTCCAGGGACATAGCTTCTAGTACCTCCTGCCTCCTTTCTTCCTTTCTGATTTGTTGACAGGGTCTTACTAGGCAGCCCTAGCTGGCTTTGAACTTGCTATGTAGCCCAAGCTGGCTTCAAACACAAATCCTGTCGCCTCTGCCTCTAGAATACTAAGATGACAGGCATGTATCGTCAGGCTTGGCAGAAGCATCACTCTCCCTTGCAAAGCCTTCTGGGAGCTCAGAGGAAGAGGTGTACTGGTTGGTTCTCAGCTGCAGGTCTCCTGGCTGGTCCCCAGCTCTCTTCTAGCTAAGCCAAGTTCAAACCCAGGGCCTGCGGAGCTGCTCTGTGACCAGGAGGGTAAGCTTGCCTCCCCATGGCTTGCTATGAGGGTAGCAGCCTGCTCAGAGCCCTGGGACAGAGGAAGGCACTAACTCAGTGGAGGTGGCCCACATGGGCTCATAAGCAGGACATTTGTCCTTGGAATCTGTCCTGCAAGCCAGATCAGGGGGCCTCTGAGGACCCGGTCTTTGCCTCACAGCCCTGTTAGGTGACTTGGTTGCCCGGGTGTTATGGGTAGGCTGGAGAGTCGGGGTGGGCTACAATGTAGAGTGAAAGAAGTGATTTCCTTGGTAAATAGTGAGCCCTCTCTCCCTGGAGGCACGCAAGGAGGAGCGATCACCTGGTTAGTTTACCTTGGCAAGTCTCAAGCACGTAGATGGGCAGATAATCTGAGGCCTCACACTTTGCCCTGAGCATCACAACTGTAACTTTACAAATGACATTTCAGTCAGCTGGGAGTTTGTATGTCCATGGACCATCACTCATCTCTCGACAAACAGCTCTAAGCACCCGTTCTCAGTGTTTAAACATTCCAGTCAATCTCTGCCCCAAGAGACAACCACACAGTGTCAGTTCAGTGACAGAGGAGAGCAGCGAGGAAGCTCAGGGGAGAACAAGTGGGGACAGGTCAGAAAATGTCCCCGAGGAAGTGTCAAAGTGGGGAGTGGTGTGGACGAAGAGCGCGGGACGGGGGATTGTGAAGAGGAGGGAGAGCTGAGTTGGCAGGCTGCTCCATCAAGCATGGAGACTCCATGCAGACTACTCCCTGGCATGCAGGAGAGTCTGAGCTGATCCTGCTAACAGCTTCTTTCCTGTTCCCATAGGCCTCCCAAAGAGGCTGCCATCCCCACTTACGAAGAGGCCATGTATTGCCCACTGGCTGAGGGTCCCTGGCCATCCCCTGTGCAGCCCGAAGAAGACGACCTTCAGTGCCTCACCCCGGGGGATGCCCTGCTGGGGTCACCATCCCTCTCACCCCCACCCAGCTATGAGAGCATCATCTTTGTTCGGGAGGCTGTTTCTGATCCAGGTGCTGCAAGCTCCAGTCCAGGTTGAGCACAGGCTGCAGGGGAGTTACAGGTCTCCAGCAGGCCCTGAAACTGGCCCCTGAGCTTGGAGCTTTGCTCAGGGCATCCTCCAGTGCTGGGTTCACAGCAGGCATTCAACAGAGCTCTGGGGCTGGATGCTGTTTATGTATCTGTTACTGTGTAAGACCATCTCCATGTTAGTTGACTTTAAATAAACCCCACTTTATTTTATTTCATCATTTTATTCATGGCTGGTTCCTATGGTTCTTTACCACCATGAGGCACTGGGGAGGCCATCATCAGGGAGGCACTGGGGAGGCCATCATCAGGGTCCCAACCAGAACAGGCTGGTGTTCTGGGACCCAGATGCTGAAATCTGGGAGATTCTGTGCGGTGAACATAGGGCCAGAGGCAGAAAAGCAGATGCAGCCCAAATTTGCACAACCAGATTGTAGCCAAGAGAACACAGACTCCAATCTAAGCTTCCCTGAGCCTTGCTCCTACCCTGTACCCCCATGGCAATGTCTTCTCTGGGCTTCAGTTTCCTCATTTTGGGAGATGGAATTGGCATTTTGTAGCAGGGCCAGCCCCTGCCTCAGAGAGCCGAGTGAGAGGATCCATGGGGTGGCAGTATTGCCGCTGAGCAGCATTCTGAGCCCACAGCCTGGGCCAGAGGTCCTCAGACTGCTGCACATCTCAGAGTTGGGGGAGGAAAGCCTCCTCTACCAGGTGCTGGCTCAGCACCCTGTAGCAAGGACCCCACACTGCCCCTGGCTCCTCCAGATGTGGCACTGATCGCAACTTTCTCTCCAGCTGCATTCTGCCCACACCCACTCCTCTATGCCACCAACTGGCCTGGTTCTGTTCATTCCTAGCTGGTAGTTCTTTGCCCACCCTTGCCCCACCCCATCTCATCAGCTTGAGCTACAGATCACAAGTGAAACCCTTTTAACTCAGGCTGTGTTGCCCAGGCTGAAATGTGGGGGACACGCAACACCAGAGTAAGGGAGGCATATGTAGTCATGGGTCACCTTTGCCCCTCTCCTCAGGGACAGTGCCATTCTCCAGTTTGCAGGCCAAGGGCCTAGAAGGAAGCAGAGATATCATGTTAGCCTCATTCTCTCTTAGGGGGACTAAGTGACCTCCCCAAGGCCCCAAGGCAGCAGGGCCTCAAACGCTGGCTAAGGTGGCAGCCCCAAGGGCCAGCTGGTGCTAGGCTAGGTCTCTGCTCCTATTTCTGCCTCACCCATGAAGCCCTTATTATTATGACCATGGTGGAGGGCTGTATTGTCACTCTGCCTATTTCCTATAGTCTTCTCAAGCCACTGAGAGCCTCTTGATGCTAAGTCCAGGTAGGGCCTGGCTCCCAGCTCACTCCGAATGGCAAAAGCTGTTTTGTTACACAGTCTGGCCTGGGAGAAGGCCTGCTCTGCAGAGCAAACTCCTAGTTGCTACCTCTTACTCCTGCCTCTTGCTCTTTGCTCCTAGCCAGACCCCTAGGCCTTGGCACTTCCTGTCCCATCCTCCCTTCAGAAGTTCTGGCCCCTCCCTTTCTACCCTCCTGTCATATTCTCTCTCCCCAGAGGTTGGTCCTAGGCCACAAAGGAGTCTGGAGAGCTCTTGCTTTCCCACTCTGCTGGTGACTTAGGCCGGGCCTATCTTAGACACTCTGCAGTTCCTAAGGGGTTTCCCAAGTGAGGTATTTACCACGGAGCGGAGCGTAGAGTTAATGAGTGGCTGGTGTGAACAGGTTCTGTCTTGGCAGCAGCTGAAGGGCAAGTAGGGAGTGCTAGCCAGCCACAAAGGACTTTTCTGTCTCCACATCTGTTCATCTGGCTCAGGAAGGGACGATGACTTGGTCAAGGTCACCAGCCTGAGACTGAGTCAAGGATATGGCAATCTCACCACGGCAGGGTGCTGTCCCTTTCTGAACTGTACTGGCCTAGCTGAAGAACCGGTGTAGAAGCCAGCCACCCAAGGCAGGCCTGTCCCTTGCAGCCCTGCCATGGAATCAGCCTGTTAGGGATTGATAGCAGTCAATCCCATCCATACTTGGAATCATCCTGATTGGTCACCTATCCAGTGACACCCAGATGTCAGGGACCTTTGTGACACAGGCTCTCCATACCTTTTCCAAGATTCTTGCAAGTGTGTGTTGCTTGGTGACCCCTGCCTGTCACTGCTCCAGGCACTGACCACCTTTAATCTGGCTTTCTAGAAACAAAGTGTGATTCCCCCACCCCCTGTGACCCCCCTGTGACTCTACAGTGGCTTCTGTTGGTTTTAGGAAAATGTCACCCTAGAGGTTTCCTGCCCATATATTCTTGGCCTCCTCAGCTTTAGTCCTTACACTTCAACTCTTCCCTCGCAAATACCACCCAGAGGGCCCCCTCTTCTTGACCCAGGGAACACAAAAGTGAACAAAAAACAGCCACTCCACCAGCCATTTTAGTTTGGCTTTTAGTTGGAAAGACAGACAAGAGACGAAGTAGATAATTTGTATAGTATGATAGATGCTGATTAATCCTGAGGAGCACAACAAATTAGGAAAACTGAGGAAACTCCTTGGGGGAGAGCTTCTGCAATCCCACTGAAGACCACAGGGTTAAAGACGGCCATGCAGATATCTGGAGGAAGATCATTCCAGGCAGAAGGAAAAGCAGATGCAAGGGCCCTGTGGTGTCTGTGCATTCCAGGGAGAGCGTGGAGCCAGAGTGACCTTGGGGTGAGTGCTGACCTAGAGGAGTGATGAGCAGGCAGTATGCAAAAGCGATCTGTGGACTTTTGGACCACCTCAAGGCCTTCACCCTAAGAAGACAGGTGGGTATTCCGCAGTTCTGGGCAGAGCAGTGATAGGTGCTGATGTTCATTTTGGGTTAGAAATTGACTTCAGTGGTCAAGTGAGGAAGCAGAGACCAGTGACGGAGAGGACGGTAGAGCGAGAGGAATGACTGGATTCTAGTTTGCAGAAGGCAGAGTGTGGTGGTTTGAATAGTTATGGCCCCCATAGACCCATGTGTGCAGAATAGCTCTGCACTATTAGGGGGTGTGACCTTGTTGGAGTAGGCCTGACTTTGTTGAAGGAAGTATGTTAATGTGGGGGTGGGCTTTGAGGTCTCATAGATGTTCAAGCCATTCCCAGAGGGTCACACAGTCTCTTTCTGCCGCCTGTGAATCAAGATGTAGAACTCTCAGCTACCTGTCCAGCACTGTGTCTGCCTGCATGATGCCGTGTTCCCACCATGATGATAGTAGTCTAAACCTCTAAACTGAAAACCAGCTCCAGTGAAATGTTTATAAGAGTTGCCGTGGTCATGGTGTCTCTTCACAGCAATAGAATCCATAACTAGTATGGGGGATTGCCGTGAAAACCCTGCCATGCTTTTGTTTGGAGGAATGTAGACTTTGGGATTTTGGATTAGAAAAGCAGTTGTACACTTTAAGTGGGGCTTAATGGGCCATCCTCTCAGGACCATGGAAGGCAGCTGTACTGAAGGTGATTTGAACTGCGTGGGCCTGGCTTAGGAGAAGAATTTTAGTATGTTGCCTAGATACTGTATTTGTAATATTTTGGTGAAGAAGGTGGCAGCTTTTTGCCCTTGTCTGAAGAGTCTGCTTGGAGATAAAGTGAAGAATTTTGGATTAATTCTGTTGGCAGAGAAAAATCTCAAAACAGCCTAGTATAGAAGCTGTCATGTGGTTATTAGTGTTAACTCTGATGAAGATTTATAATGAAAAGGAGCAAATTGGTCAAGGAAAGATAAAAAAATGTACAGATTGAGGAGTAGAGGGGCATCAGGAAGTGGAGTGGAAATAAATCCTCTGTTAGAGGAATAAAGGGAGTGGTGACCTCAGGGCAAGACCCCACCCAGCTAAGCTTCCAACTTGTGAAAAGGGATTAAAGAACAGTTTAGATCCAGGCGTGGTGGTGCACGCCCTTAATCCCAGTACTCAGAAGGCAGAGTCTGACAGATCTCTCTGAGTCTGAGGCCAGCCTGGTCTATAGATCCAATTTCAGGACAGTCAAGCTTAGGCAGTGAAGGAAACTATTAAAAACAGAAAGCTTGTGAAGATGTAATTGAATGAGGGGGCCATGATCTGACTGTAGAATCCAGGAAAAAAGAATGGGGCTATGGAATCTTCTTCCACAACTAAGGGAAGCCACTGAGGCCAGGCATGTGGCAGGAGTGTCCCTGCATCCCTGCATGGAGGCCCAAAGAGGCCATTGTGTGAAGCTATGAAGGTGAAGCTTGTATTGCCTTGGAGACCTCAAGATGTTGGAGATGCCAGAACCGTGTGGTACCTGCTGAGGAGAGCTGCTAACGGGGAGTGGAACCAGCCTGAGAAAGAGAGAAGTGTGTTGCATTTAGGAGAGCTGAAAGGAGTTGGAGATCTGAAGAGAATTTTGACATCAGACATGGAGTTGCAGAGTTTGGTGTTTGCCCAGCTGGTTTTTGGTCGTGCTTTAGTCCAGCATGTCTTTGCTGTGTTCCCTTGCCTACATTTCAGAATGGTAACGTATATCCTGTGTCATTGTAGGTTGGAAGTATGCGATCTGCTTTTTTATTTTGATTTTACAGGGGGTTACATTTAAGAGATTTCACAAGTCTCAGAAAAGACTTTGAACTTCCGACCCTTAAACAGGGTTGGGACTGTGATAGGCTATGGGGACTTTTGAAGTTGGACTAAATGCATTTTTCATTATGTTATGGCTACAAGCCTATGGGGGCCTGGAAGTAGAATGTGGAGGTTTAAATAGACATGACCCCCATTGACTCGTGTGTTTAAAGGCTTGGCCCATAGAGAACGGCACCATGAGGAAGTGTAGTAGCCTTGGAGAAAGTGTGTCACTGTGGGCGTGCTGGCTTTGAGGCCTCATAGTTCAAACTACACTCTGTGTGGTTCACAGTTGCTTCTGCTGCCTGAGTATCAAGATGTAGAATTCTCAGCTCTTTCTCCAGCAACATGCGCGGCTGCACGCCACCGTGCAGACAGCAGACTAAATCTCTGAAAATGCAAACCAGCCCCAATTAAACGTTTTCCTTACAAGAGTTGCCCTGGTCACGGTGTTTCTTCGCAGCAGTAGAAACCCTAACGAAGACATAGAGTTGGCAGGATTTAGGAGGGAGGAGGTGAGGGCGGTGGCCCGAGAAGGACCTGGACGACAGCTGGCACGGACAGTGTGTACCATGAGCCGGCTGCACACAGCGAATCGCCGTCATGCCGGTCAGACTTCATGTCACCTTTCTGGAGATGACGCAGCCAGGCACCCCATCCCTGAAGCTGCCTGTGACCCTCAGAGTGCCCCATGTGGCAGGAGCCTGCGCAGAGGAGGCCAGAACATGGTTGATCTCTGGTACTGGCAGGCTCTGGCTCTCCAGGACAAGCCTTGTCTTCACAGGCTTAGGCTCCTACTTGTGCCCAGTGGGTTCTATCTTTGAGTATCTTGTGGGGGGCAGCTCACACCCAGGACCCAGGACCCCCAGTACCTTCAGACATGCTCAGCTTTCTTGGCTTGAAATACACAGTTCACACTGAGAACAGGACAACTGGGTTTGAAAAAAGAAAAAAAGAAAAGAAAAATGCTCATGTTTTAAGTATATTTACAATTGTGTGTTTGGCTTCATTCATAGTTAGTGGTCACAGGTTGGACACGCCTTCGAGAAGACAGCACCTAACACACGCCCTCTGCCGGAAGACCACGGACTCCTGGACCACTCCAGCAGCTCCTTCTTGGTGGGAGTAGGAAGCCAGAGTGGCCTCAGGCTTATGAGAGCAGGAACTGCTAGAAGGATCACTCATTGCTCTGAACACACACTGCCATTTCTTTTTATTGGTTAGCACTTTTATAAATTCTTTGAGAATTTCACCCTCATCTCATACAACACCACCCTCACGTCTACCACCGCCTCCCCTTCCACCCAGTGCCGAGCTTTCCTCCCCTTTCTTCCCTTTCCCTTTCCCTGGGGAGTCCAGGCCCCAGCCCAACTACTGGGAGCTGGGGAACCAAGTGTAGTTGCTCCATCAGGGATCACCACAGAAAACTGACTCACCCCCTCCCAGCAGACACCGACAGCTCTCCAGCCAGGGGCCAAATCCACTCCCACTCTCCCAAATCCATGCAGGGACCCCGGCCAGCCAGAGCCACACCTGCCACCAGCTCACATGTGCGACTGCCCAGCCCTGTCCAGAAACTTGTGCCCTGCCCCCATGTCGTCTGCCACCTTCACACCCCAGAACCCCTTGCCCATCCCTGTGTGAAGATCCCTGAGCCCCAGTGGAGGGAGGGGCCAGACACAATCCACCCAGAGCAGAGCACTGCACAGGCTCTCACCCCTTCAATGAGGCCAAGAGACACACCCCTCTACCAGCATAGTAACAAGTCACTAGGAATTGCCTTGCCACCATGTCTACCCAGGAGAACAGCACTGGACATTTAATGCTTTTTAAAATGCTTATATTAATCCTTTGGGAATGCCATACAATGTATTTTGAATATATTCACCCTCCCTTCCCCAACTCCTCCCATAACCACCATCTCCACTGTCCACCTCTTCCCACACAGCTTTGAGATTTCTTCCCCGCCCCCTTTGTATTTTCCCCTCTTTTTCCTGTAGAGTCCGGTTTGTGTTGCCCCAGCTAGTCTTGGAAGAGGGGCCTGCTCTGTGGCCATTTTATGTTTGACTCCAGAAAAGATCAGGCCCATTTAAGCCAGCATTGACTTATCTCAGAGTTTCTTGCTCCTCCTTGCTGCCAAAGGGCAAAGAAAGACTGGGTTATGGCCAAGAAAGAAAGGCTGAACAGAGAGGGGAATGCCCAGACCCCTCTAGAGTGCCTAAAAGCTAGATCTGTTTTCTTGAACTCTGGGGGGCATTAGGGAAGATCTTGGCCAATCTCCATCGCTCCCCAGGCTCTGCCGTTTCCTTATCGGGGAGGTGGGTATGGCAACTCCTCCATGTGTGCAGGGGCAGCAAACACAGGATGTGACAGCACCATACCAGGCACACTACAAGTCCACCAGGGGACATGCGAAGCTTCTGTGGATGTGGCAGATTCATCCCCTTTGAATTCTCCAGCCCTGGCTCTTCAGACCACATCACCTTAGGTCTCCCCAAGCTTTGTACTCTTTTTAGGATGGATACCAGCTCTTGTCTGGCCTCTCTTGTCTCCAAGTCTCTTTAAGACTATTCTAATATCTCCCTGGAGGTCTCTGTGGCCAGTCACAATTACAAAAGACTCTCCCTCCATTATGTCATTTTCTGGTACCAGACCGGGAGATGGCCTAACAGCCATTTACAATCCACAAGTGACAAAACTCAAGCCCACTGCCTAAGTTCACCCTGAGAATCAGACTGGACCAGAGATTTAGCACCTGGGCGGTTTCTTCTAGGTGCCTGCTCCCAGTTCCTGGGGCTTCTACAAACTGTGAAGCACAACTGGACAGCACTGAGGGACAGTGGTGGCAGGGACAGAGAGCCTAGAACCTTCTATAGTCAGGCAGGCACGCTAGGAGAGGTGTGTGGGTGAACACAATGGGGCGTGAGGGACATGCACAGTGCATACAGGAGAATCCCTGAATTCAGGGATTCAGGGAACTCATTGAGAGCGCTTGCTGTTGCACTGGTCACTCACAAGAACTCCAGCTGTGGTACTCTCGTACCTGTGGCAGCTCTGGGTCTCTGCCGCGGCAGCAATGGAAGCAAATCTGACTTTTCCCATCAGCCATATCAGAACGAGATGTCCTTCCTCCCCTAGACTGTCATTCTGAGGACAAAGATGTCTTTCCAGGTTGGGGACCAGAAGAGGTGAAGTAGATGTCAATCAGTCAGTCATACCTGCAGGGGTACAGGCTCACCCTGCCCTGGCTCCCGTTCAAAGCGGGGCTGAGTTGAATGTGGGCTATGAAAGGGATGTGGGAGGTAAGGCCTGGGGCCGGCTTTGGTTCTGGGAGGGGCTATTATCACCCCTCCCCTGATTTACAGAGGAAGAAAGTGGGACACAGCCAGCTGGTGAGCCATGCAGCACCAGCAGGAAACACGGATCCAAGACCAACACGGGCTTTGCTGCTGGAGCCTGCCCCTGTTTACACCTATCCTGTAGTTAACTAGGCTCATGCTAGTGGGACGTGCAGCCTCTGGGCTCATTATTTGTGACAGGTTACTTGTCTACACCTGTGTCCCCATTTGTGAAGTGAGAATATGGCACCTGTCTCCTTAAACGAACTGAACAGAGGCAGATCTAGGATGGTGATCATTTAGCAGGTACAGATATTCCTGTTGAGTCTAGAGGACCTGGTGTCCTTGAGAGGGTGTCTAAACTGTCAGGCTGTGGGTTCTGGACGCTGCCATGGCCCCACCCCTGCGTCCCAGAGCTGGGAGGTGCAAAGCCTGTCAGGGCTCAGCTCCATAGTAGGCAAATGAGATGATGTCAAAGTTGTGGCCCGCCCAGCCCCTGTGACCTCCCCCAGCCCTCCCACCTCTGTCCCAGGCTCAGGTTCACAAGAGCCAAACAGCTGGGCCCAGAGGGAAGGAGAGTGGCAGGAGCAAAGGTAGATGGCTGGGCACTTGGGCCCACTGAAGTGTGTCACCTCCTGCCCTGCAGAACTGCTGGGCGCAGGGCTGGGAGCTGGACCTGTGGGGACCATTCCTTGCCTTGTGCTTGACACTTCAGTCAAGCAGTGTGTCACCCCTTCCTAAGAGCCTGCTCAACGTTTACCTTTGCATAGGATTGTGGGCAGCCCTTTGCTGGGGCTGGGGAGCTGGTCAGCTATCAGGGCTAGTCAGTCACCATGGCTGATGAGAAGACCTTCCGAATCGGCTTCATCGTGCTGGGCCTTTTCCTGCTATCCCTCGGCACATTCCTTATGAGCCACGATCGACCCCAGGTCTATGGCACCTTCTATGCGATGGGCAGCATCATGGTGATTGGGGGAATCATCTGGAGCATGTGCCAATGTTATCCTAAGGTAGGGGATGGAGTTGGGTGGGGGCAGGGGGACATGTAGCTCTTATTGTCTTAGGTACCAACCCCTCGCCTCCAACTGCTATGTTCTTCCCATTTGGACTCCCCATATTCTCTCTGTTCTGGGTAGTAGTACCCTTTTGTTCACCCATCCATCCATCTCTCAATGTGGTTGATCAGAATTCCCCTGCATCTGGGCCCTGTGCCAGCCAGAACGGGGACACAATGGGATCTATGCACTGTCCTCTTGTTTGATCAGAAGTTGGTCAATGTTTGCTGTCTTCCAAACTTGAACCCACAGCTCACCCCTATCCCAAGTGCTCAGTGTTTTCTACAGCTCCTTTTCATCTCATAGACTCTGAAGCACATCTCAGGTTGGAGCTTGCTTTAGTGCAAGCTTGCACTAAAGCTTTAGCTTGCATTGTGCCCTGGGTGCTTCAACCAGGTGCTCCATCCAGGGTGCTCCATCCTGTACCCGCAGCTGCTGAGAGCTCTGCCATGCTGAGTCTTTATGAGTCATAGTACTTTCATCTGTGAAATGGCTCTCCAGTCTGTGGTACCGCAAGTATGGTATATGGAAGCTGGGAAGGGCATATTTGCAACTGCAAGGTTTAGGTAAAAGCTGCTGCCACTGTTACTCTTCTTGATCCCCACACAGCTCTGAGGGTGTGAACGTGTCAGATGTTGTAAACCTTCAGTACCCAGAGAGGTAGAGTGACCCTTCCAATGTCACACAGCTAGTTAAAGACAGACTCAGGGATTTAGGGAGAGGAATAGGAATCTTGCTTGTGTCCGTCTCTCAGTGCCTGGGAGACTGAGCCACTTTGTTCTCTAAGCCTCAGTTTCCTTACCTGTGGTCAGGAAATAGAGTGGCAAAGGGGACCGGACACTCGAGGTCCCACTGAGCCTTGATACTAACAGCCCTATCCTCCCAGCGTCCTCCACCCCTCTCCAGTTTGGTGGGGAGAACCCAGAAGGAGTTCTAAGAATTGGGGCCAGGTCATAGCCTTCCCTAGCCCTACCCCTTTTGTGGCCAGCCCAGGCCTGCCTGTCTTTTATATCTGGAGCTTGGGCAGTCCAAACTGGTTTGGAGCCATTTACAAAGCGGTTTACAGTCAACTCTCCTCTATGTGCTCAATGTCCTGAGCAGAGGTCACTGGAGAAGAGGGCCTTGAGGCCAGAGCTGCCCCGTCACTACCCAGGGAGGGTGAGGAAGTTGGGAAGAAAGCATCCTTCCTAGGGTCAGCTGGTGGGGGGTATTGAGTAACAGCAGGATGGCTGATGGGGGGATAGGGCTGAGTATTAATGAGTAACTGTTAAAGGCTCACGTGCTCCTGTGTGGGAAGGTGGTATGGCTGGTGGAAATCCACACCTCCTAGTGTCCATCAAACCCTAATTCGAGTTCCTGTGCCCTGTGCCAAGTCTGTGACCTTGGCAGAGCTCCCCCGGCTCCTGTGCCTCGCACAGTTAAGTGTAAGGGAGCAAAGGGTGCTGTGGAGATGGGAGGAGTCCCGGTACTGTGCCTGTGTGAAGCGGGTGCAGAGGCCTTGTTCTTGAGAGTATGTTGCTGGCTCTGGAAAGTCTACAGGGGGATGCAAAGAGGACTGGGCTGTTAGAGCCATCACAAGTGGAACAGGAGGGCGGAAGGGGTCCCATTCTTCACCATGGCTGCTCTGTCAGGTTTTGCATACAAACCTGTTTAGATTTGGTACTCACTTAGGCCTCAAGCATGAGTCAAATGGGAGAGCTGAGCCAGGGCAAATCTAGTGTGGGGATTACTGAAGATGCTGAGGCTAGAAGTTGAGATGGAACAGGGGAGTAAGGATGAAGGAAGGCACGGGGAGCAGAACCTTGGCTCTGCACCTGAGTCTCCTTACTTCCGTCTGCTCTGCTGGAGCTCACAACCAGGACCTGGTGGTTGAAGGATATGTCCCCTTTGTGGGCTTCCCTCTCTATGCCCACTGGTCAGTGTTCAGCCTGAGCTTAAATCTGATGGCTACTCTCCTGATAAAAGTTCCTCTGGAGTGCCCACGGCGTGCATAAAGATTGAAGTCCTTAGTCTGGTGTTCTGAGGGTTTCCAGGACTGATCCTGCCCCCGATCACCAATTCTGCACATCCGTCCTCTTTCTTTAGAAAGAGAATCTGTGTTCTTGAATGCTGTTTCCTCTCTGTCTCCTCCATGCCTCTCATGTCAGTGGTGGTAGTCATGACTGTAGTGCTGATGGCAAGGGTTATCGTGATGATGATGATGATAGTAATGGTTATGATAGTGATGATGGTGGTGGTGGTGATAGTGATGGCAATGGTGACAATGATTGTGGCGGCAATGATGATGATGATAGATAGCAATGGTGATGATGGTAATGATGGAGATGGGAATAATAGCGATGATGGTGATGATAATGATGATGATGATACCTGGGCCATGAGATAGGAAGAAAAAAGAGGTAAATCTTAAAAAGTATGGAACATGCAGGCCATAGGGCACCCTTAGTATACTCTTAGATGTAAGAGGCTTGGACACCTGGGCCAGTTCCTTCTCAGGAATGTAAGAGCTCCTCTACCCATTACCTGCTCCTTTCCATCATCATGAAGCTTTGCTGGTACAGACCATGCCTCCCTCATTGTTCTTGGTGGAAAGGGACAAAGAGTGAAGCAGTTCAGCAGGGGGTCATCAGATGGAGCATGGAAAATGTTCAGACTTGTGTGTCCAGTGGCTTGGTCTTTGTTGGGCCAGGTTGTGATTTACTGGGAAGCTGTGTGTCCAGATGCCTTGTTGAGAGAGCCCTTTGTATTAGCTTAGGGAATCCTCACAGTTCTCCTGGGACACAGGCCTTCAAAAAAAAAAAAACCTATAAAACATATAAGCATAGAATATACTGCTTTAACGGGTAAGCATGAAGTTCTGAGGTATTAGGTACATTCTCAATATGGTCAGCCCATCTCCAGAACTCGTCCTAAACTGGGAAACAAAAGAGTCACACCCACCAGGCAACCATTCCCATTACCATTCTCATTAGTTTTGGGGAGTCACCCCTCTACTTTCTGACTTTCACAGCTTGCTACGCAAGGGGACTGGAGTCTCACGGTGTTTGTCTCCGCTCCAGCCCAAGTCTGGTGTATTTCACTCAGCACAGTGTCTTCCATGCTCATCTTTGATGTACTGCCATCAGAACTTCCTTCTGAGGGCTCACAGGCATGCGTGTGTTCCCTGTGTTTTGCTGTCTATCATCCATCAGTGGACCCTGAATCACTTCCTGGCCATGGTATACAGTGCTTCTCTGAGCACGGAGGAGCAAGTATCTCTTTGGAGGTTTTCTCATTAACCACAAGAGTTCAATGAGGCCCCGGAAGGACAGATGGCTCCCAGGACTCACAGCAAGGAGCTGGTAGTGAAAAGATGTCTACCTGTCTCCAGGACCCCAGAGGCAGGGCTCTTTCTCACCTAGCTCACTCCTTCATGGCCTTCCTTCCCGACCTCAGTGGCCACCCCTGTAGCTAGGCTGCTTGATATAAAAAGTTCAGGGATGGACCTTTGTGAGCACAGCCACAACCATCCCGATGTGCCACACAAGTAAGTGCTCACTCACCAGGTGCACATGAAGCACCCTTTGTAGAGACCTCTGGGTAGTGGTAGGCCCAGGATCCAGGGCAGGTCATCTCTTTTATTCACTGCTGCTCCTAGTGCCCAGATGGTGTCTGCACAGGGCAGGTTCTTAGGGGATTGTCCAGTAAAGGGAGAACATAGTGTGGACAGGAACGTAGATATCTGTCTACCCACTGGGGTAACTCCTTCATCAAGCAGAGGCCCTACCAGGTCCTTCTCCTTATCTGCAGATAAGGGTGCAGGGTCTCCTGGCCCAGCAGCCAGAGTGTGTGGCAACAGCCAGCTCTATCCCTGGCCAATTGCAGAGATGATATTCTCTCTCCTTGCAGATCACCTTTGTGCCGGCAGATTCAGACTTCCAAGGCATCTTGTCCCCAAAGGCCCTGAGCCTGCTGGAGGACAGGCTTTCAGAGGTGAAGAGGTAAGGGCGGGTGGAATGGGCCCTCAGTCTAGCCTCCTGTCAAAAGTGGAGAGGAGGGGACCAGGATAGGTGGGTTAGGTGTCTATGTCTCTGTTTGTCCCATCCACACCAGTTTTCTGAGAACACACTTCTAGTTTCAAACTCTCAGTTTTGTGTGTTAACATCCTCATTCCCATTTTACAGATGTTGATTCTGAGGTTCAGAGAAACACAAATCTCATACCTCATAGGGAGTTGGTGCTGACTTGGCCATGGAGGTGCCAAGCCCTGCTTCTGGCCTGGGGTAGAGCCAAGAGCCCTTTGGCTTTGGCTAATCCCCTGAGCTGTGACTCCTAAGCTTGTAAAGACCAGGCTACAGGCCCTCGAGCTATGGGGGCTCAGAGCCAATCTGCTTGGGATAGTTCATAATGCTGGCATTTTCCATTCCTGATACACAAGAAACAGCAGACACACCCTGGTGGTCAGGGCCACCCCAGACTCTATCTCATGGCCTATAAACCTAGCTCAGGCCACCTGGGTCCCTTCTTTTGTCTGGTCACTTCCTAGTTGTGACCTTGGACAAGGGCCAACTGAAGCACAGTGACAGGGAATAGATCACTATGGCCTGATCCACCAAGCAGGGTCTGTGTCAACCTATGTACAAGCCAGTTTCAGTTGCTGGGCCTTAGTTTCCTCCCAGCACCTCCTGGAGTTACGGGGAATGTAGGGGCCATCACTTCCCAGCCTTGCCGGCTACGAGCAGCTGTGGCTCACTCTGCTAAGCATCGGAGCTGTGATTGCTGTGTTGGGGGTGTGCTTCGGCAAGCTTTCATGCCGAGTCCTCTCCATCTTACCTTTACATGCTGTGGATTCCTTTTGAGACTTTGTGATGCTGACTTGGGATCAGGCCAGAGCTTTGTACACTTAGTTGGGCCTCGGCCTCACCACCTGCGGCACGGGTACTGTGATACGCCTGAAATTTCTCTTCTGAAATTGGTGGGGCAGATGGTGGGGGCATGGTGAGGGAACTCACGCCCACCTGCCCACTGTCTTTTGGACCCAGCCCCCAACCCCCTTATGTCAGGCTATGGGAAGAAGCCGCCTACGACCAGAGCCTTCCGGACTTCACTCACATCCAAATGAAGGTCCTGGGCTATAGTGAGGATCCCAGGCCCCTGCTGGCCCCTGAGCTGAAGACAGGAGTCAGCAGTGGGGAGGAAGGTGAACCCCGCACTGCTCAGGCCTGGATGGAAGCTGCAGTGGTCGTCCATAGGGGCTTGGATGAGAATGAGGGAGAAAGAGCCGCTACTCAGAGCAGGTGAGTGGGTGGCGTAGGACTGGGGGTGCTGCCCAGTTCTGGGGCAAGTGTGTGCGCGTGTGGGGGTGTGCTGTGTACCAAGAGGGTGGCGGGACACCTGGGAGTGAGGAGCAGGAGCAGAGGGTGAGTGCCACCGGGAAATGAAGTTGGCCCGGGGCTCTGATGAAGCTAGGTGCTGGTCTCGACTCCTTGTCTATATGAGCGTGGTGGTTTAGGACTCTCCTGAGCAGTTTCTCTCAGAGGGACAGCCATTTCCATCACACAGGGATAATGTTTAAGTGCCCAGCACAGTTCTTCCCTTTCTAAATGCTTGTCATGAGCAGCAGGAGGCCAGGAGCCAGAGGGCTGGGCTTTCAGTCCTGGCTGGGCTGTTAACCTGCTCGGTATCTCTGGTGTTTTAGTCCCTGCCACAGCCCGGTTTCTGTTTATTTTCGAGTCAAGTCTCTGACTGATCTACACGTCTACATGTTCCATAATTACTGGACACCAGCTCATTCTCAGGCCTTGACTGGCCTCCAGTCTCCTGAGTTTCCAGTCCCTGAGGGTGGGGGTGGTGGGGAGGCACAGAGGGACTGGCAGTGTGAATGGACTGTGAGGGGCCAGAGAAGGATCCGGAATGCCTGCAGTTGTGGATGAGCCGCTTGGTGGGTTGTTTTGCTTTTGTTAATTTTGCTTTAAACAACATCCTTGTAGCTTGGGTACTCTGTGTCAGGCACTGTGTGGGGAGCTGTGAACATTTGATGTGCTGTAAATCTCAGAAGCAACTGCTAGGAGAGGATTCCCATTGCCCCAGTTTCCAGGGGGTGGGGAAGGAGGTCTCCCTGCAGCTAGAGGCTGGGATCTGGGCCCAGACAATGTGACTCAGGGCCTTTCCTTCACTCTTGCTCTTTGACTCTGCAGCCCTCCAGCACATTCCCAAGGTTCTGCACCATTGGCGTCATTCCAAGATGACCTGGACATGGGCTCCAGTGAAGGCAGCAGCCCTCACTCATCCCCACCTAACAGAGACGAGCCACACCCACAGGTGCCCCTGGCCAGCAGGGGTCCACTGGATCGCTTCAGTGACTTTGCTCTCATTGATGACACCCCCACATCAGAGGACATGGTCCTGGAGGGGCAGGTGCAGAAGGCAGCTCCGCCCAGCAAGCAGCGGTGGTCCCTGAGGGCGAAGGAGAAGGAGACTATCCAGGCAAGTGCAGAGGAACCAGAGCAGGAGGAGGAAGACCTGTACTATGGGCTTCCAGACAGCCCCGGGGACCCCCTCCCCGACAAAGAGTTGGGCTTCGAGCCTGATGTTCAGGGCTGAGATGAAACAGCTTCCTGGGTGTAGCCTGACAGCACTGCTCTCTTCATGGGACCCCACAAGGCCTCAGTTTTCCACCTCCCAAACGGGGTTCTGTGGACCGTCAAGTGAGGCAGTGAGCTGAAGCATATTGGGAACTGAAAAGAACACACATGGGGGGCGGCGACCCCCTCCCCTCCCCAATGAGCACATGCTTCCGGTTGTAGCTTGCTCCGCTGACCTGCAGATAGAGTGGGCTTTCTGATGTCCTATGTTGCAGCCAGACTCTCAGAAGCCCTTCCCATCTCCTAATGCTGGCCTCTGATTGGGCCCTTATGTGGTGCTACCCAGGGCCCCTGCTCCTTCATGGAGACTTCTCAGGGCACTGCGCCCACTGAGGTTGGGTCCTCTGGTGGGTAGTTTGACTCACCCCACTCGGAGCTGATGAGGTCTCCCAGCTCAGTCTCTTCAGCAGTTCCTCTGTGGCTGACCTCTGCTGACCTAACCTGACCTCTGGACAGCTCTCTTGTCCCTGTTGTTCCTGAAGTTGTCGCTAGTTCATACCCATGCCCTTGCTTGAACTGTCTTCTTCAGTCGTGCTGGGTAAATTCACTTATTCCTATATCCCTGCCTAAGTGATCTTCTGCCAGCTTTCCTGGTGACACATGACCTAGATGAATATGTTCTCTCTGGTGCTTGGACATTCATTTCCATAGCCTGTTGCTTGCCACTGTCCTGGGACAACTTCTTGGCCTTATTCATCCAGGGGATGCTGGGCATGTACAGATCTCAGCAGATCGGGGAAACTTTGCAGATAATGTCGCCCTCCCCAATTTTGACAAGTATGGCATTTTAGTCTCTAGCACTCACTTTCCTAAAAGGCTTCTGGACAGTCACAAAACCAGGCAAAAAGCTACCTGAAGAACCCAGCAGCAGCTTGCAGGACACACTCTACTGGCTTTGAGTGTGCAACATCCAGCTACTGGGTTAATTCTACTTGATGTCTTTGGCATTTTCCAAACATCTGCTATATGCCAGGCACTCAGCTTGGAAAGAGACATTGCTCCTTGACCTCCAAAGGACTCACAATCTCATGAACTTGCTGTCTTGTAAGTGGAGGACAGAGCCTGGAGCAGAAGCTGGGGTAGGAACAGAGTCACTCCAGCCTGCAGAGCTGGCAAAGCGCTCTGCTCTTAGCCCAGGACAGAGGGAGACACAGGAAGGCAGGTGCTGCTACCTCCTTCGGCCAGATCCATACACATCTAGGAGCAGGACGCTGGGTGAAGCTCAGAGGTCCCAGACAAGGGAAAGAGATACCGCTTATACTGAGTGAGGACACACTTCACCCTCCTGCCTTCCGGGGCATTTCTACCTCTTCCGTGAAGATGCCTCCACCAGGCACCTCCTCTCTGCTGATGTGTCACAGACAAGGTGTCCCTGCTCGGCTCCCAGCCAGGGGTGAGGTGAAATGGAGCAGGCTGCTGTGTGCCACAGGGATGTCTGTGCCCCACGTCAGACAGAGCTGAGCCAGCAGCACCAAGGGCTGAAATAAAAACGTTTTCAACATTAAAAGGTCACCTCTATTTGCCTGTGAATTCTTTTCTGTGAAACTGCCCATTCCCTCCAGGCAGAATAAAATGAGGCTTCATGCCTGGCTGGCACCGAGTGGCCTCTCTGAGAAGGGAGCCGCAGACACAGCAGTGTGGCCATTTGGGACAGCTGTGCGGGGGGGGGGGTGACCCCCCCCATGCCTGGAGTCATAGCTGCAGAGGCTTCAGACACCAAGAGACTCCAGGTGCCAGCCACGGGGCAAAGGGAAGTAGCTCTGTCCTTCCTACAGATGGGGGTCTACAGGTGATTCCCTACCTCTGTGGCACGCCCCACACGTGTGCAGTGAGAAGACCACGTTCCTGGGCTGCCGGGAATGAGCCCATGCACTCTAAGGTTTCTGCTGAGGAGCATAGTTACTCACTTAAATGCAGCTCATGGCATGGGTGGGGAACAACCTGGGACACCAATCTTGACAAGAAAGGACACCCTAGGAGATCAGATGGCGGTCAGGAAGCAAGTTTGGCCGCAGATCAGGCAGCGTCAAAAACAGACTGATTTCTGTGATCCTGTGGCCTGCTACCTTGGGAGGGGGAGGGCCTGGACAAAGCTTCACAGTGATGAGAAAGTAGCAGTGGTCATCCAGAGGCGGGTGGAGGGGCGTGGAAGGGCGTGTGGTGTCTGCTCATTTTGTCACTTGGTCACCATTCACCAAGCAGCTATTGGGTTAATTCCACTTGATGCTTTGGGCATTTACTGAGCATCTGTTGCTTAGGCTGCTTTTGCTATCCCCTGTCTCAGCCCTCCCAGGTCCATGTCTGCTCTGGAACCTGTGGGTGACTGGTGGGTGTGGGTGACTGGTGGGTGTGGGTGACTGACTGGTGGGTGTGGGTGACTGACTGGTGGGTGTGGGTGACTGGTAGGTATGGGTGACTGGTGGGGTATGGGTGACTGGCAAGTGTGGGTGACTGGTGGGTGGGGGTGACTGGTGGGTATGGGTGACTGGCAGGTGTGGGTGACTGGCGGGTGTGGGTGACTGGCAGGTGTGGGTGGAGGGGAGGGCACTGTGAATTTTGATAGGGAGAAAGAGTTGTGAGCCTGGGCAGCTGGGCCAGTGGCTCACTTCCTCGCACTCCAGCCTTCTCTAGCTCTCTGGCTATTCGCTGCAGGTGCCACAATCGTCCCTACCTTTTCGTTGCTTCACCGACTCAGTGGTGGGTGATACTGGTACCTCTGGATGTCCCTTTATGTGGTTGATAGGATCAAAGGGGAGCAAGGTACTTGTGGAGGCCTGGAGTAGCCAGAGGGGGCTACAGGAGCAGGATGGGTGTCATACCCTGGGTTCCAGCCTCCAGCCCCAGGTACAGGTTTGTGTGCCAGGGCAGAAAGTCCTGGCATTTGTTCTCCCTGGCTGTGGGAGTTTCCACTGTAGGGGGAAAGTCCCTGTGGAGGAGTGGCAAGGGCAGGCAGTTGTCCTGGGGGCCTCGAGCGCCCGTCTGCTAATGGTTTGTTGTGACCTGGGCACCTGCCATCCTCCGCTAGCATCTGTTCTTCCTCTCCATATGAAGGTAAAAGGAGACAAGATTGCACTTCCATTCCCCATCTTTGGGCCTGCTCATGCCCTTTATTCCACCCAGTCCTCAAAACACCCTGGAAGAGGGCAGTCTGTTGACCACACATGGTAAATGTCCTAAGTCTCAGACTCTGATCTGCAAACAGATGTGGGGGCCTTGCTGTACAGGCTTGAACAAGTCGCTGTTTGTGTCCGATCCTCTGTGTCTGCATTTTGTGAGTGAAGATTATCCCAATGGCGGGAGCCTTGGGAAGATGGAAAAATGGGTACAGTGCCCCCTGGCATTTTGCAGGCATCCCAAAGTGCCAGAGTTCCTTCCTTCTCTGTACCTGCTTCCTCATTAGTGAGGTGGGGTTCAGCTGTGTTTCACTCTTCAACAAGGCAGCCGGAGGGTGACTCAGCAGGAAGAGCATGTAAAAACTCCCACAGAGAGAAAGCTGGAGTATGCGTGCCAGAGGTGAGTGGCATGGAGCTAAGCATGGCATCTCCTGAGGGGGTGCGAAGGAAGTTGCTGCAGCCCCCCAGGAGTAAGAGAAAGAACAAGGGCAGGAGCCCTGTGTCTTACTGGTAACATGGTGCATGGTGGCCCTGCCCCATAGGCCATGCATGCTTTCAGGTCTCCAACCAGCACTGAGATGTTGGTGTTGCAGGGACCAAGCTGGAACCCCAGTACAGTCATCCAAGTGGCCCCTTGGGACATCTCTTCCACACAGTCACAGGATAGCAGACCTGCCCTGGTGTGCCACCTGCTTTCCCCTCATTGGCACAGCCTGCAAGGTTGCATTGCCCCCATTTGGTAGGAACTGAGGCTTGGAGAGGCTGAGTCATTTGTCCATTTTTTTCTGGAAGAAAGATAAATGGAAGCAAGGAAATCTAGTTGTAAGATCTTCAGCTCCTGGCTGGAGGTATCTGTAGCCCCAGACCATTCAGACCACAGCACATACAGGAGAAAGACAGAGCAGCCAGTCAGGTCGCATGGAATACCCACCCATGCCCACTTACTGATGTGGTGAGAGAGACCCACCCTTGTTTCCATACCGCCCATGACTCCCCTGTTGTATCCTGTTGAAGGTCAGAGTCCTTGCCTGGCTTCGAAGCCCTCTATCATCTGGCCTCTATGCCCTTTGCAGGCGGATCATTAGGTATGTCAAGCATTCCCAGCACCGCAGACCTACCTTCGTGCCATCTAAGGCTTGGGTAGGCCTGGTCTTCAGCCCTCAAGGCTTGACTCAGATTCTCTATCTGCTTCCTGGTCCAGCCTGCCCCTGCCAGGGCAGAACCCAGCCCCTTTGCAGCAGTGCATGGCCTTGTTTCTGTACTTCCATCTCTGCTCCTGAGATGCGAAGTCTTCACAGGCCTTTCCCTCCCACCCTTCCACCCTTTCTGCTCACAAAAGCAAAAAAAATCGCAGTTATGTGGGGCAGAGTGGAGTTGGAGGGAGCCAGGTGTCCTAATATTAGCACAGGTCCAGTGGCCTCAAGCTTGGGACAAAGTGTCAGCTTTAGAACGTCATCCCTGAGTGTGAGATTGGGCTTCCATATGACCTGGACTTATTTGTCCTCATCCATAGTAGAGGCAGTAACACAGACACCAGGGGTTGCTGTATGTGGAGTGGGTGGTGGCATGGACATGGTCCAGAGAGCTCTCCATAAGCCCTGATTATCATTACTCTTGTCACCTGCAGAAATGAGCAGACTATGTGCAGAACCTAGACACTAGGAGCCAATGTAGGACAGGGCTGGCACTCAGACTCTGTCACCAGCATTTCCAAACTTGGGGTGAACCTGGTGAGTTGGAACACCCCCTCCTCCTTCATTTTGAATGAATAAGCTAGAGACTCTGGAGGAATGGCTGCTTCTGTGTTTTGTTCTGCCTTTTTCAATGGATTATCAAGGACCCCTAGCTGGAACCTAGACAGGGAGAAATAGATGGGATCTCAGATGGAGAGCATGACAGAGGCTGGCTCTGGGAAGGGAAGAAAGGGAAGGAAGGGAAGGAGGCTGGAATGAGGCAAGCTAAGGTCAGAGAGGCAGGCTGCAATGGTCTGCAGCTCCTTGAATTCCTCCTACACAGAGCCAGACTTGTTCTTAACAGCCAGGGGGACCTGATGACACTCATAGGCAGAGGAGTGACATGAGGAAAGGAATGCTGAGGACCCATATTGTTAACAGGCATAAAAGGGACCCAAGACACACTGGTGACTCAGGAGTGTCTGTACCCT